TAAATGGCATTTTACCTACACGAAAGAAGAGAGAAAGAAAAGAAAATATCTCTCTAAATACTGGACAGTAGAGCACAAGCGAGCACATTTTGCGTTCTTTTGTCTTTCAAACTCGAAAAATCTTTTCTATTGAAATACGACGCGGCGTTTTAGGTCCTTGATCTTAAAATACTCCTATCTTCTCTGGTGCTATGAGAGAAATGAATTTTGGAGGAAAATTATCATCAAATTACGTAAAAAGCCAAATCGAACTACCAGACTCTAAAGTGGACTCTCGGACTCTACATGAGACTCACAAACTTCCACTAGACTCCCGTACTCCTACCAAACTCCAGGACTCCGAGAGTCCCGGAGTCCGTTATTTCCTCCTTGGGTATAGCGGTATTAGTGCTATAGCAGTGATAGTGGTGTAGCAGTGTTAGTGCTGTAGCACTGATAGCGGTGTGAGTGGTATAGCGGTATTAGTGGTATACGATTGATAGTGGTATAGCGGTATTAGTGCTAGCAGTGTTAGTGCTAGCAGTGATAGCGGTATTAGTGGTATAGCGGTATTAGTGGTATAGCAGTATTAGTGCTATAGCAGTGATAGTGGCATAGCAGTGTTAGTGCTAGCAGTGATAGCGGTATTAGTGCTGTAGGAGTGATAGCGGTATTAGTGGTGTGCGAGTGATAGTGGTGTAGCGGTATTAGTGGTATAGCGGTATTAGTGCTGTAGGAGTGATAGCGGTATTAGTGGTATAGCGGTATTAGTGGTGTGCGAGTGATAGTGGTGTAGCGGTATTAGTGCTATAGCAGTGATAGTGGCATAGCAGTGTTAGTGCTAGCAGTGATAGCGGTATTAGTGGTATAGCGGTATTAGTGCTGTAGGAGTAATAGTGGTATACAAGTGATAGTGGTATAGTGCTACTAGTGGTATACGGGTGATAGTGGTATAGCGGTATTAGTGCTACAGCAGTGATAATGGTATAGTGGTATTAGTGGTATAGCAGTATTACGGTTATAGCAGTGATAGTTGTATATCGGTATAAGCGGTACCGCGGTGTCAGTGCTGGTATGATCTCAGTGATTTTCACACTTCGTGAAACATTTTAAATTTTTGAGTGAGTCTATATCAGTACAATTAGACTGAAATGTCTCTCGCAATACAAAAATGCTGTACGAGTTTGAAGGTTGCTGAAGCCGAGAAGGAAACAAGGATATGTGCAAAAGTTAGAAGCACCGCTGTATTACTAATACGGTAATAGTAAAACGGCTAAACCACTAATACCGCTCTATCACTAATATATTTCTTTATATGATTCTTATTCTTTTCCACAACACTAATATCGCTATACCACTAATACCGCTACACCACTAATAGCTGTATACCACTAACACCGCTATACCACTATCAGTGCTATAACACTAATACCGCTATACCACAAATACTGCTATACCACTATCACTGCTGTAGCACTAATACCGCTATACCACTAACACGGCTAATATTTATACATTTTTATTTTGTTACAAATTGAATGTTTTTTTTATAACTTATTTTTCCGCAAAATGAAATTCCCCAACATATGATTGGAAGGCGTGTGCGAAATTAAGTATAACGTTCTTAAAGTATAAGTATAACTTTCTTATCGCTTTTTTAAGGCGTTTTCTGCTTAAATGTTCACTAATGGGTCAACTCAGCGTTTTAGTGAATCAGATTAGTGAACATTTAAGCAGATTTTATGCAAAATCGATTTATTTTTTTCTAGAGTATCGCTTTTGATTTTTTGAAAAATCAACGGCAATTTTCCAAAAAGATTGAATTGATTTTACAGAAAATCCAGACACGTTTTATGAAAAAGGTAAAATTCTTGAAAATTACGAAAGTAGAAATTCGCTGCTGAATTCGTATATGGACAAACTGAAAATCGTTTTTTATTTTCTATAACTTTTTTGATATTTATGTCCCTTATTATATCCTTTTTTTAGTGCTTTGTTTGTCTTTGACTTGAGTCATCGTTATTCTAGGTCGCGGACTTTCGACGACTCTCGCTTTTCGTGAATAAAATAAATTAAATTAATAACTCTGTGAAGAACTGAATTATCCAGTTATTGCATGATGTTTTACCCGGTTTTTCTTCAGGAACATGATGCAAAAGGTGATGATTCGAAATATGTTCACACTAAATTTGAGCCTCATTTATTATTTGGCGAGTTGGCAGCAGAACAAAACTTTTCATTTTTCAGCCATGATTTCTACTAAAATAACTTTTTGTTGGTGTATCGAGCTTTTTGTATTGGGAAGCTTGATTACATCATGTTCTCGAAGAAAAGTCCGAGTAAAACATGGTGTAACTAGGACTGAGGAAAGGATCCCACACAACTGCTTCTCGCTCGAGCGTTTACTTATGCGCCGCCAATTCAGGCGTTTTAATGAATCAGAATTTAAAGAAAATTAACTAATGAATCATTATCTTTCGTTGTTGGCGCCGTTCCCACGAGTACTCGAGCGTTTTTTGAAAGCGCGTCAGAAAAGCGCTTGTTTGGACTTATTCTACGCGCTGGAGCATGCTGACTTCAATTTTAATATTTGCAGCTGAAGAAATAGTCTAATATCGCTAAATTTTGCTATATATGATACGCTAGGTATTACGGCGTGTAACCATTGGCGGTTGATGGCGCCAATGAGAGCATTGCTATCGACCATACGAATGAATTTTACTAAAACAGTCGAAAAATTTCAAACAAAAAAGGTATCCGTCAAACTTTCGCGAACGCTGTTTCGTATTATTTGTAGTTTAAAAATATATATACTATCTAATAAAACTGTGCGTTTCAAGTGCGACTTTTTTCATATGTTAAGTAAATAGTAACAATTTAACACTGGAATAAGCGCTAAATAGCCGCTTACCCCGGCTTTTTTAAAAACACACAGAGGTCCAATAAAAAAAAGGACAAAAAAGAGTGTTGTATAAAAAACATTTAAAGCAAAATCAACAAATTTAAGATAGAAAAGAATATCCATTGTACTGATGGTGAGGGTGATGTCGGTAAATTTCTTCTTTGACTGTTGCTCCAACTAACTTTCCGAATAATAAAAATAGATGAGAAAATCTGAAATGCACAATAGTTTAAAGCATCGAGGTATAAAAAACTATGAAAGAACGTAACGAAAGATTATTTGTTGTTCACAATAAAAATCTATGTTTCGAGTTAAGAATATTCGAATGAGTATATGAATCCACGTCAGAAAAGTAACAGAAAAGAGCAGACATAACACGTAATGAAGGCAACAATAATTTTCTCTTATATATTTTGAACAAAGAAACGTTTTGTATATTTTCTTATTCTTCCTTGTCTGAAATTGACGTTATTACGTTTCTTACATAAGAAGCTCATTATTACGTTTAGCCCGAACGCAGCTATACTTGTCTTATTCACGATACTTTCGCCTATACTCATTCATAAATTCGTGATAGTATAGTTTGTCTTTTCCAACTGAGAACAGACGGAACTGAGTTATATTAATAGTGTTCTTCGTAATGAGACATAATAATCAAAGAAAAAGAACGGAAATGAGAATATTCACCCTTTTGTCGCTTCGTATACTTCACATTAAACGTATTCGTTCTAGACAAGTTCGTTACGGGCTATTTCTAACTACTTATCTTCTTTTTCTAATATACAACAAATGAAGGTGAACTGAACAACTGAACAGCACCACTTCTACAAAGAGACTACACTAGTATTCATAGATCGAATACGGATACCGTAAAGTACTTAGCGAACGGCTCAGGGTATGCAAGGATTGAAAAAAAGCTAGGTCTCAATGCAAAAATATCGGTAGCCTTTGAAGAATTAAAATTTATGCTAGGACTAATTTCAGCTGTAACTTTTAGTCCCAACTTTTAGTATCCTAATCTCATAAGCATTAAGGATCACTAGAAACAATTATATAGTTCGAGCATAGCTTCTCAAAGCCACGTTAGAAGAAACGCCAACCATCATAACACACACGCAAAAATTTATACAGTTATTCCACACTTTATCTGTAGCCATTTTCGTTTACTTCGAAACTTAATATTGCCGTAGTAAGGTGCAGAAATTCAAACGGTGTTTTATAAATAAATTCAAACGCAAAAGTTATTAATTTGATTTAAAATTTCTGTGTGTCAAATGCTAGAACCGGACAGTGCAGTCAACCGATAGAGAGCACCACATTAAAAATAGACTGTAAATCGATGAGTCATCGGGTCATCATCATCGACTATTTAATAGACCACTAAGGTGACATTTCCCCTAAAATTATGCTGCTTTCTGGCTTTAGTACTCTCAAATGTTATGCGCGTTGTTAACAGTTGATTGGTTTGAATTTACGTTCTACAATTGACTTTCTAAGCTGAAACAGAAAAACTGAGTACAGAGCCATATGTTCGTTTTCCCAGACAATCGGCGCTACCTTCGTTGTCTAATAGAATCATATTATCGGTTACTGAGCTGATTTATGATTGGATGGTTAAAGCTAAATGATGTCGAAAACACGAGTCAACTGCGAGTTAACTCATCTTTCTTAACACTGAGTTAATTTTTCTAGTGTGAAAGTAACCTTGTCGCAAAAAAATTACAAGTTTATTTCAAAACATCTTGCTATATCAGAAAATCCTTATTATTTGTAGTTCTCAACGGTTATTTTATTTTTATTGATAAACAGTCAAGATAACAAGTTATAAGCTCTTAATACAATCATTATCTGCCAGCGTTAATAAGTCGGTTAGAAAACAAATGAATATAGGAGTTCTACCTTGTTTAATCATATTTACAACTTCTGAATGTGCAATATGCATATGATTGTTATAATCAAGTAATGATTTCCAGTTTGCTTTATTTAATTCGATTATAACTAATATGATAAACATATAATAATCAAATGAGGGTAATGCTGGTTTTGATGTAATGTCTACAGGATAAAAATGATGAGTATAAGATCCAACTGGCTCCCCAATGTTTTTTGCAGAACCAAAATCAGCTAAATACCATTTTCCATCCATGTCCACCATAACATTCGCAGACTTTACATCCATATGAACTATATTTTGAGAATGAACATATTCTAGAGCTTCTTTGATACGTTTTGCATTGCTATATATTATATGTTCACTCAATTGAGGCAAATTGGCTAAAGGACGACAATAATGAGGCATGATGAGTGATCGGAAGACACCATGGTGCATTAAATTTGATATTACACTTTGAGAATCAATGATAATATCAACAATTCTGCATGGAACAATTGGAAAAAATAAAGGTAATTCTTACAATTTGAACTTTTTACACATGTTATGCTCATTATCGGTATCTTGTTTTAAATCGATACCAAGTTTAATTGCAACTGGTTTGCCATCTTCATCAACTCCAAGGATTATGTTCAATGGTAGCTCAGAGGAAAAAAACCATTGATGCTAATTCCATATTTATCTCGAACAAATGCTTTTGTGACGCTTCCTGGATATGCTTTTGCACACAGATATAACTCAACGGCCATTTCTGTATCTTCTGTTTCACATACTACCATCAATTGGGGTCAATATTTTTTAACTATTAATTCCAGTAGATCTTTATTTGGAGCATTAATTCGTTTTTTCTCTAATAGTAATTTAAATTTTTCATAATAATTGGTTTCTAAATAAACAAGTCCTGGTCGTTAGCATGAAGTGAATATTAGCGTTGAAATATTTGAGCATATTTTAAAATATTCTACATGGCATATTCACGATGAGTAAATGAATTCTATTCAAAAACTGAAACTGGATTAGTATTATCAAAATCTTTCTTTTCACTTCTGTCTTATAGGTAACATTTACCAAACGTTAAAACAAATGTTAATGTTATCTTGTTGTAAAAAATATATATCAGGTTAAAGAAATTCAAAAGATCAGCACTTTCTATATTTTTGATTTTTGTACATGGTTCGACGCAGTTTTTGCTGATTTCGAATATATGTCTTACAGTTTCAGCTTTTTATTCGAAATCTATGTTGAAAGCTGGGTTAGGAAAAGTGTGTTTGAAAAGTTTTGGACAGGATTTTGACGGTCAAATTTTTAAATTTAGTGAAAAAGGTAAAAATCTCACACCGTCTTGCGCCAAAAGTTTCAACTCAATTTAGAAAAGAGCAAATGCTAATATTTTCGCATGGTTGTGATGGTCAGATAGTAGCGAAAAAAGTTATGCATGCTTTTTAAAAACTTTTCTTTCTTTCCTAGGATATTGTACTTTTTCTGGACCCTCCTCTTTTCGCAGCAAGTCGGGCGCCTGATTTGCCTATAACGCATCCACTTTTCACTCGAGATCAATGAAAATTTGGTTTTATAGGTCAAGAAAGTCACTAGCTACAAGTGTCCTCTTTCCAACAAAAAAAGTTGACTTTTATGTACGTCCGTCACACTGCCACACGATCATATGTATGAACAAAAACCGCGAAAGTGTACTACGTTCTGCAATAATTTTGTGAAAGAAGGTTTTGAGCAAGATCTGATAGTTTTAAGTTCGTGATCAGAGAGGAAAGGTCGGATCTATAGCCATTTGATATCATACGAGCAGCGAGTTTATGAGTTGATGTTAGTAAATCGAGATGCGTTTTGAAGTCATTGTCAAATACCACACAACAATAATCCATTACTGACAAAATACAGATTTTATAAATATGCAGTCGAATAAAAGTAGGAGCAGATCCGAATATTCGATTCATAGCGCTAACATTTGCCTGCACCTTCTAGCTGTATTTTCAAGATGAAATTTCCATGTGAGATCTGATAAAAGATAAACTTAATGAAAAAGATAAAGTAAATATGTGGAGCGTTTTTTTTAAGTTATGTACTATATTACTAAGGGGAAATTGTACAATATTGAAATTTGATGGTGAAAAAAATGCTCCTGTCAGCAACTTCTGTTGTATATATCAACACTTTAGGTATACGATATTTTTTTAACACAATTACATCACTTATTTACTTTATCATTAAAGCAAGGAATTTTTCCGAAATTGTGAAAACACCGATAATAAAAGCAATCCATAAAAGGGAGCTCGAAATCTGTGTTCTAATTATTGACCAATTTCTCTGTTATCTAATATTAGTAAAGTTTTTGAGCTCCTTATTCACAAATGCTTACTTAGTCACTTGCATGAAAAAAATCTTTTTACTTACCAGGCTTACCGAGCGACCAAAAACGAATTCTAAAATGTTTAAGGTAGTCCATATTGTAGCCCGTGAACTTCTCTGTCAGATGAGGTATTGCTTGAATCTTTTCGTTGCGTTGCTATTTTACAAATAAGATTTTATGCTAGTAGAGTAGGCTAAATTAACGTTAATTAGTACTAATTAGTCAATACCATGAAGGAAAGAACAAAAATTCTTGCATATTTTCTCGTAATAAATATTCTCCACACATTTCTCTATCGATCTAGGCAAGAACCAAGCTTTTGT